TATATATATATATATATATATATATGTGTGTGTGTGTGTGTGTGTGTGTGTGTGTGTGTATGTGTGTGACGCCCCTGAGTTCACATAAAGCTACAGTCCATGGTGAATCCAAGGATGTCAAACCTACAATGCACCCACATAGTGCATTAACACATTTTACCAATCACAATATATGTGTGTGTGTGTGTGTGTGTGTGTGTGTGTGTGTATGTGTGTGACGCCCCTGAGTTCACATAAAGCTACAGTCCATGGTGAATCCAAGGATGTCAAACCTACAATGCACCCACATAGTGCATTAACACATTTTACCAATCACAATAATATCCTCTAGTTGAATAAAAAAGAAGTGTAGGTACAAAATAGGCAGAGTAAAGGAAATAAATACAATAGACGTGATATAGAAAGACATTTCATATATGAAATCATGTCTCAACTGAACAATCTGTAATACATCTAAAATAAATACGAACTAACTTAATCATGAGTCAAGTGGAAACAAAATTAAGCCACACTGTCTTTACAATATGAAAACGAAACTCTAATGTCTGAATAGAAATATAAACTAAAGTGGAGCCTCTAATGGTAAAATCATGCGACAGCGACTATACTAGAACTTTATCATCCTGCGACTCTCCGAAACTTTGAATTGCCTATAAAGAAATTTTAAAACAAAAAGAGAAACAACACAAGCGTCAGAGCGCTATAGCAAGATCACCTCCATCCGCCCTCAGGGGAAGGGCTTCTAGATGGAGTGAAGGCTCTATCTATTAAGCATAGTCTACCTAGATTATTTATCCATGTATCTAAGTGGAGTTAATATTTAAAAACCTACAACACGAGACGTAGTATGTCGAGCGAAATAATCCAAAAAAAGGAAACCCTCATATATATACCATATGTCTCAAATTGTAGATATCTAAACATTAATACCGAACTAAGAGCATGCAATCTAAATGAAATCAACAATTAGAAATCCATAACACGAGACTGGTACATCGAGCAAAATAATCCAAGCAAGGAAACTTTCATATATATACCATATGTCTCAAATTTTGAATCACTAATCATTGATCCCAACTAAGATATAAAGAAAGCAATAACGGAAATAAAGACATCAATACATCGTATTTATAATATCCTCCACTATCACTGGGGAGATAGAATAAATACAAAAATATAATCCCGTATACTTTCAAGAGCAAAGTATCTCGGTCATATATCTAAATGATGAGTCATATCCATAGCTGGCATCCACCAACGACTCAGGCTATCAATTAGCTACCTCAGTACAATTCTTTGCAAGATTCTAAAACTTAGCATCATCATATGCAACGGACTACCCTGTAGGTATCCTAAACAGTGTATGCAGCTTATTAGTCTCATCGCGATCTTAGTGTGTAACATGAGTGCGGGACGACCTACCTTATAGGTATCCAAAAAGACGGCTTACAAGCCTCATCGCACCCTCGTGTGGACGAACTGCTAGGCAAAGCATCCAAACCCGACTCAATGACCTGTACAAATGGAATATCAACGCACTACCCCACATAGTACTGAACTGAGCTCATCAACGATATCCATCCTATGTATGAACTGTTTAAATCTGGCATATTGACGCACTATCTCATATAGTACTGAGCTGGGCTCATTAACAATATCTGACATGTGTATAAACTACTCCGACTCAAGTGTAATCACTCAACACTTGTCAATTCTCCTTTGGGATACTCGTACGTGTACTATGACACTATTCATGTATATTCATGTCTATATGTGTACTATCATACGACTCAAACCCCACGATCACATCTCGAATTAAAGCAACACGATATTCAAGAAACAGCCATAGTAGTCGACTACTTTGTTTAGTAGTCGACTACACTGAGTCCATCCAGATTCTATAAAAACTTAAATCAGTATTAGTAGTTGACTATTTTGAACATTAGTCGACTACTCTGCAAACTCAAAGTTTCTATTAAATTCAGCTAGACATGAGTAGTCGACTACTACACTTAGTAGTCGACTACTTCTATCAAAACACGCTTTCACACATGCACAAACATTAATTATTTGTAGATTTGGGATATGTAACTTGTTCAAACATAATACTTTCTTATCATGAAGTATCTAACAACACTTAAACTTTGTTAATTACTTTACAGAAATTATCTTGAACATAATTCACACTCTTGGGTTAATCAAATTAGGGTTTAACAACCTACTTTACAGAAATTATCTTGAACATAATTCACACTCTTGGGTTAATCAAATTAGGGTTTAACAACCTAATTAATCAAATCCTTCAATTAACTCATAATTCACACTCTTGGGTTAATCAAATTAGGGTTTAACAACCTAATTAATCAAATCCTTCAATTAACTAACTTATTATCAACGAAATTTATCAAAACATGATGATTTTTATGAAAATGAACATAGGTGAAATTCATGTGAACATATTTATATCACCTAGGTATCACAAACCTAAGGTTTAAGCATAAGTAACTTGTATGAAAACTCAATTAATTGGTAAATTAGGATTTAAGCATGGTTAAGCATGATAAACAACTTAATAATGAAATTAGGAGCAGCTCTGATGATCATGATCATGTTAATAATATAAACAGTAAGAAAAACCATATAGATCTAACATTGGTTTAAGATTAATCATCAAAATCTCATCTTTTTCACATCGGTTTAAGCCTAAACATGTAAAACATTTATTTAAACATCTTAAATTATTTAAACATGTAAAACATTAACTAAGGGTGCAGGTTTGGGTGAATATGATCTTGCCTTAATCTCGTGTGCATGCCTCTAAAACAAACAGCGAGCAATCTACAAGTGCAAAAACTCATTCTCCATTGCCACACGTCGATGATCTCGCCCTTGTATCGGTATTTTGCTTCACAAAGCTCACAAAACTCACAAGAAATTAATCTTTGGTTTTTGAGGGGAGAGGGTGGCTACTAGGGTTTAGAGATATAACAAAAGAGAGAAATTTTTGTAAAAAATATAGGTATTTATAGCTGCAAACTTCAAAACAAACCCGTTTGACCCGAACCAGGAAACCTAGTCTGACTAGGAAAACCATCTTTGGTATTTTTACTGTAACTTTATCATACAACCTTAGAATGAGGTGATTTAAGATTTATTAGAAATCTATTGAAGAGGCCTACAACTTTTTTCTTTTGAGTTTTTCCAGATTCGAACTTCATTGGTGTGTAAAACACGTATACCCCTAACTGGTCGTTTTTCTAGTTTCCAGGCTTGTGTATATAGTGCATGATTTCACTTCTATATTCACATATATACATTGAATTGATCTCAAATCAATTTCTAGCATACTCAAATATCAATAAATATTATTTATTACCATATAACACATTTATTATTATTCATCCACATATTTTCAAATTCATGGGGTTTTACATTCTTCCCCTATTAAAAGAATTTCATCCCCTAAATTCCGCAATCATATCTTAGAGATTAATAATATCAGAAAAACATGTTGAGGGGATAATTCAGACAAGGAAACCCTCATATACACATCTCATACCATTAATCTCTAGAT